TTTTGTTTTTTAAACAGCTGAAAGCACAGTGACCGTGGAGGCATTTTGTTGACAAATGAAGAAACTGAGGCCAGGGAGGTTGAGTCATCAGTGAGAGGTGCGGAGTGGCTCTGCCAGGGGAAATGACTTTCTTTCCCTTCTGCAAAGAATCTGACAGAAGAGAGGGAGGGAGACTCTGTGGACTTAGTAGTTGGCTGGAAGGACAGGAATGGGACAATCTAGAAGAAGGGGAGGGGAAAAGAAAACAGACACACGTGAAAACTGACATTGTGGGCAGCCGCATGTGGTGAGTGTCGGATGCTTGACCCTAATTCAGAAACCATGAGGAAACCAGCAAAATGATTTAGAAAGGATAGTGTGGCCCTAATGACAGGAAGGGAGGGCAGTCCCTTGGCTGGAGAGTCTCAGCTGCAGGGCCTTGGGCAAACCGACTGGCAGTGATGCTCTCTCTCCGCGACCATGTTTGAAAGCCAGAAATCCATGGCAACAGGAGGTCCCATGGAGGATGTAGGGAAGAGGAATTAGAAAGCAAACCCCAGCACAGCAAGCCCCACGGGTTTTCTGTGGACTGAGGACCAGTGAGTTGCGCCCGCTGTGACCTATGGAAATGGCCCATTTTCCAGATCTGGTGAGAGCGCAGAGACCCAGGGGCTGCATGGTGGGGACAGAAAAGGACAGGGTTGGGGCGGCACTGGCCACCAAGTCCCCCCACCAAACCCAGTCCTCCTCCAACGTGGAGGTTGGGAACCAGGGCATACACCCAACTGTGCTTCGTGACTGTGACACTCCTGGTGGCACTCCTGATGGCAGAGAAACCCCCTCCTGCTGACAAATGGTCTCTAGTGCAGCTCATGCTAGGAAACCTGGAGGCCCAAACTGTTGACGACAGTGTTTCCCTAAAACGTGCCCATAGGCCATGTTTTCAAGCTTCTGCCTTTGCTGTTTCTCTGCCAGCATTACCCCCTATGAAAAGAGAGAAAAAGGAAAAGCGTTCCCAAGTGCCCTCCTCCCTCCCTGTCTGCTTCCTTGATAGGAAGTATGGTAACGAGATTCCTGTCTGGCAACCCCGTGTCCCTCCAGACTCTCCTCTGAGCACCCCGCACTCAGGCTCACGTGTAGCCCCTCCTTGGTCCCCGGCCTTCACCTCCCACGTACTAGGTAAAGCCAGCGTCTTGGGAAAAGTGGCTAAAAGAGGGGAACAAGTTATTTTGGTAACAAAAATATGAAACCATCTAAAAAGAAAAATGAAATAAGCTCATCTTTATGGGAATGTATAGAGTAAAGCCCGTTTTTGCTAAAAAAAAATTCTTGGAATTTATCAAATTTGGATTTATCAAAATTCTTATAGCTGAGAATACTATCTCTTTAAATAAGAACACAATCTACTTAATCTAGCTGTTGTTTATAGAGTTAAAACCAACCTAAGTGAGCCTTGCTCAGAGGGCATCTCCTGACCACGCAGGGTGGGGAAGGTGCCGTCCCGGCTTGGCTGTGCGGGCTCTGGCTTAGGACGGCAGGGAGAGAGCTGACCCCATTCACACCGTCAATGTCAGCCGAACGTGCATTGTCTCTTTTCCCACTTTTCTGGCAAAGCTGTCATTGGTATGTTTCGGTTTGGCCCAGGGTGTGGAACTGGTTACATATGGTCCCCATGCCTTGAGGAAGTCTGGAGAGAGAAGGCATGAGAAGAAAAGGAAGAGGAGAAGCAGGGGGAAAGTCAGGCAGGAAAGGAGGCGGAGCGAGACAGTAGTGGGCCTGTGACTGATGGTGTGGGCCTGCTGGCGCCTGCATGGGTCCCCTGGCTACCTCCGCCCAGGAAGTGTGTCTCGGGGGATGCTACACGATAGGGTCAAGTTGCTCTATCTGCTGGGTCTGGGACTTGGGCAGAGCGCTGGAAAAACAGGCCTGACCCAAGTGGCCAATTAAACTTTCCATTGGCAGAGATTGAACTAAGAGTTGAAAAAAAAATACATGAAATCTTTCCATTTGAGTAGTTTGTTTTTTAATGAAATGAAACATTTACTGACATAAGCTCCACAGAGCAATAGGAGAACACTTAATTAAACTCCATGGTGCCATTTTGGACAGTCTCAATGCCAGAATAAAGCATTAGAAGGCGTTTGGGGCCCAGGGGGTAGAGTGGAGGGGAGGTGAAACCCCTTCCAGAAGAGCCTTCCAAGGTTCAGACCTTCTGCCCTTCTTTCCTCCCAGTTCCTACAGGCTCCTGGCAGGGGCGGGACAAGGGGCATTTCTGCAGGTTCGGCAGCATGGCTTCCGAGATACGAAACCAAGGCCTGTAGTCAAACACAAAGCAAAGGCTTTAGAGAGTGCCATTCCTCATACATGAGGACACTGGCTGCCTAACCTTTCTGGGCAAGCTGGAATGTGGTCACTGCCATCACTCAGGCCAGAGCCTCCCAGCCAAAACTCTTGGGCCCGGATGTGTCCAAGAATCAGACTTTTTTCTTTTCTTTTTATTTTTTAAAGATTTTATTTATTTATTTGTCAGAGAGAGAGAGAGAGAGCGCGCGAGAGCGAGCACAGGCAGAGTGGCAGGCAGAGACAGAGAGAGAAGCAGGCTCCCTGCCGAGCAAGGAGCCCGATGTGGGACTCAATCCGAGGACGCTGGGATCATGACCTGAGCCGAAAGCAGCCGCTTAACCAACTGAGCCACCCAGGCATCCCGAGAATCAGACTTTTTTTTAAAAGAACATCCATACTGGGGCGCCTGGGTGGCTCAGCGGGTTGGTCCTCTGCCTTCGGCTCCGGTCATGGTCTCGGGGTCCTGTGATGGAGCCCCGCGTCGGGCTCTCTGCTCAGCGGGGAGCCTGCTTCCCCCTCTCTCTCTGCCTACTTGTGATCTCTCTCTCTCTCTGTCCAATAAATAAATAAAATCTTAAAAAAAAAAAAATCCATACTGTGCATAGACCAGGTAACATCCTTGAGTCTGAGGCCACACTCCATATTCAAATAAGACATTATCACTTCCATAGCAGTATGGATGAATACATAGAAACAGTAAACAGCCTTGGGTTATATGGCTAAATGGGGTCAGTTCAGACCTGTTTTGCTGCCAGGTGAGTTACCAGAACTTCGTGTTTCCAGAGCCTGTTGGGTTTTGGGATGGTGGATAAGGAAACGCTGGTCCCTGTCCCTCACCCAGTTTGTCCAGAGCACCACAGGACATTCTGCTAGCAGCAGCGTGTTCTTCCGCTTGCTCCCAGCTCCCCGCCCCCTCCGAGTTTTCAGAATGTCTTCAGCAGTTGGAGGAGGATTTCAGCTAATTAGCCTCAGAGCTGACCCAACACCCAACTGCAGAGGGCACCTGTGAAGTCAGGCAAAGCGTGGAGGCAGGGGGCCCATGCTGGTTCACTAAAGCCCTCTCGCTAAACTAAGGGTCACTCCCAAAACGTGAGCAAGTTTCTTTTGGAATAATCACATCGAAGGCCAACTTCAACACAGCAGGAATAATGATACATGGATTTTATCACAAGAAGTTACAGTGGCAGAGAATAAAAAAACATCCCAAAAAGGCTCATAAATGTGAGTGACATGTGACTGACAGCCTGGGAGCCAGGATAAACCCAGTTCCAAAAGTAACAAGAAAACAAAGAGAATGGCAACAGATTCCAAAAGTCAGGACGGGGTTGTGCTCTGGGCCCAGCTCCTCCAGAGTTGAAGGGAGCTGCTACGTGCAGACGCTGTGGTCTTCGGCTGATAGCCCTGAGACCTAGGGGGAAGACATCTATCTAGGTTTCTGTATGGCTTGAAACCAGGTTCTTGATTTTGTAAATAAACCAGGCCAGAAGTTGGGGAGGATTCCGGATTACAAGCCTGGGGCTAAGGAGCAGCCAAAACATACAAGTGCTTGGCGGGCAGTGGCAGAAGGCAACAGGGCAGGAAAAGGAAGAAGTAGAGAAGTGTCTGGCAGTGATTGGAAGAGTAAGGGACATTCACTTCACCCCACCTATGGTATTTCCTGCCCTGTCAGGAAGGCCAGCACGCAGGGAGGCTGCCTTCTCCCTCAGAGGTCTCCCGTTTGTGTTGGGCAGCCTGAGGTTTCAACATGAGGCAGCCCCCCCAGAGGGTCACAGAGGTCTCAAATGATAAATGGCCTGTCCAAGGTCATCAGTAAACACGGGCCCTGGAGGCGCCCTGTCTCCCCATCAAAGTCACCAAATCCCGGGGCACCTCGGGGTCACTGGGCCAGACGGTGCCCAGCCATGGGGACACAATAGCAGATCTCAGCTGGTGGGGTAGAAGCTGGCCCGGGTAGAAGCCAAACAAATTTAGGAAGTTCAAAGATAGAGTTCATAGATGCTATAAACACGGGATAGTGTATTTTTCATTCCACGGATTTCTTTTCTTTTTATTTATTTATTTTTTTTTTTTGGTCTGACTCATTCATAGTTTTTGACTGGTTTAATTGAATTGTAATTTACATACAACAGAATTCAACCATTTTAAGAACACTGCGCTTTGATGAGCAGAAAGGGCCCCACCACCACATGCAGGATACAGAACAGGAGCTGGCAGATTACTTTGTGTAGGCCAAATCCAACTCCCACCTGTTTTTGTTTTGTATATTTTTTAAGGGCTATTCAAAATAATACTATGCGACAGAGATCATAGGCAGCCCACAAAGCCTCAAATATTTGCTATCTGACCTTTTACAGCAGAGACTGCTGACCCCTGACCCTTGGCAGCCACTCCCCTCCCCTCGCCCCTGGCAACGACTCATCTGCTTTCTGTCACTGTAGCTTTGCTTTTTCTAGAACTTCACATAAATGAACTCATACAGTCCGTTGCCTTTTGTGTCTGGCTCCTTGCGGGGACGACGCTTTCGAGATTCATCACCCAGCTTTTCCGCATGCGGTCCCTGCTCCTTTCTGAGCTGGGACTGGGGGGCGGCGTCCCATGGAGGGCCGGACTCCCCACGCCCCCGCAACCCTCCCCACCCCCTCGCGGCGGGGCGGCGCACTCACGGCCTTGTCTTGCAGGCATGAACAACCGGGAGGTGCTGGAGCAGGTGGAGCGCGGCTACCGGATGCCCTGCCCGCAGGACTGCCCCATCTCTCTCCACGAGCTCATGATCCACTGCTGGAAAAAGGACCCGGAAGAGCGGCCCACCTTCGAGTACTTGCAGGGCTTCCTGGAAGACTACTTCACCGCCACAGAGCCCCAGTACCAGCCCGGTGAAAACCTGTGAGGCCGGGGTCCGCAGAGAGAGGCCTTCTCGGCGAGGCTTCCCCGCCCCCTCCCCATTAGCTTTCAGTTCCGTAGCCAGCTGCGCGAGCAGTGCGAGCCGTCCCGGATCAGATTGCATGTGACTCTGAAGCTGACGAACTTCCATGGCCCTCATTAATGACACTTGTCCCCCAAATCCGAACCTCCTCTGTGAAGCATACGAGACAGAACCTTGTTATTTCTCAGACTTTTGGAAAATGCATTGTATCGATGTGATGTAAAAGGCCAAACCTCTGTTCAATGTAAATAGTTACTCCAGTGCCAACGACCCTAGTGCTTTCCTTTTTTTAAAATGCAAATCCTATGTGATTTTAACTGTCTTCACCTGATTCAACTAAAAAAAAAAAAGTATTATTTTCCAAAAGTGGCCTCTTTGTCTAAAACAATAAAATTTTTTTTCATGTTTTAACAAAAACCAATCAGGACAGGTGTTTGGTTTTTTTTTCTTTTTTATAATATGAATATATATCATATATATGTCCCTGTACATACACCATGTGGGTGCTAACGTGGAGACCATGGCCCACCTGGGCCATAAAGCCTCGGGACCCAGAGTGAGGATTTTACTGCCAAATCAGCATAAAAGCACTGGTATCATTCTGCAAACCAGTGGCCTCCTTTTTGGCTTTTGCAAAGCATGATCCTTTTTCTTTTTTCTTTCTTTTCTTTTTTTTTTTTTTTAATTTGGATTGCACTTTTTTGGTTCATGATTGTACCTGTAGATGGCTGTTCCTTTGACTCTTTCCAAGCAGCCCCAGAGCTGAATTCACAAGTTCTGTTTCCAGTATTTGCTTTGTCTTAACTGCGATCTGTTCTCGAAGCCTAAAAGCATATTGAAGCAAGCAAATGGCCAATAACTACCAGGGGAACTGGAAGATGGATACCACACATACTTCTTGTATAAAAATATGAATGCTGAAATGTTTCAAACTTTTTTTATTTAATAAACCTTGTAACCACATTTAAATGGTCTAAAACCCATAGCATTAGAATCATGGCGACCTGCTAAACTTTCTCATGCAACTAAAATTTCTGAGGGTGGGGGTTGGACATTTCCCATTGTAAAATAAGTGTTTTAAACGTTCTGTACTGCTAATGAAATGACTTTCTCTATGTCCAAGAAGTCTCCAGTGGAATAACTATGCACTACTTTACATTTCATGGGGATGCACCAAAAAAAGAAAAAAAGAAAAAAAATTACATTTTTAGTTGCTGTTTGTACCAACCTTGAATTACATGTTTAACAACAACAAATCAAAAAGCCTATTTCTATTAAGTTTTTAATACTGGGTAGCGACTCTGAAATCTTAATTCCTTTTTTGTTATGATTTATTTGTGAGTTTACATTTTTAAATTGTTTAACTTTCTTAATTTAGTAATTAAAAAGAGAGCATTTTACATTTGAATTTTTTTTTGCTCATTTGTTTAAAGCATGGAAGGTACTCTAGTAATGACATATCTGTCCCACACCAGGTGATAAGGAGTTCTCTGGTCCGTTTAACCATTGTACAGTGACTTCCAAGTGACAGAAACATTCAGAACACTAGGAGTGGGTTCTTCCCCCTAGAAAGGATGGGCCATTGTTGAGCTATTTCAGAGGATTATTAAAGCAAGCTTAAGAATACTTTCACGTTTCAATCTATCAGACATCATCTCTAACTGGAATGTTCTGTATTCCACCTGTAGGAGAAAGACAATTACAAGAAGAATCTTTATTGCCCTAGAGCCAGTGTATGTATTTCCCGTGGTCCTCTACCTCTGTCAGCGTGCCACTAGGCAGGGAAACAACCACGTGTGGTAGGAGGGGCAGTGGGTAGACTGTACTCTCTGTCCAGGTGCCTGGCTGTGCACTCATTCAGCTGTGGGACCCTCAGCAGCCATCTGGCACCTCTGTTTTGGGTCCTGTCTGTAGAGATGAGGGGGTTGGATGAGATTTGCCATAGGTTCCTACAGATCTAAGATCCTGTAATTCGGAGATCATTGCTGTCATGTGGAGTTACATAAGCAGGAGAGTTTTCTTGCCAAATAACCTCTATATTTAGAAAGGGTTTCCAACATTTAAAAAAAAATGGTTGAAACAAAGGGATTTTCTAGTTAACCAAGTCTTTCTGGTATTGTTTTTGGTATTAATGCAATTGCTAAATTGATTAAAAAAAAAATCAAACATCTTCAACAATTACTATCACATTAGCGCGCAATTTACTAACATGTTCTAGATATTTTTAAAGATAACTTTGTTTTTCATCTTCACATTTCACTAGGTTGGATAATTTGCAAATATTCTCCAGAGGATTGTTATTTATGTTTCTGACTCGGTCATTCAAAAAAAAAAAAAAAAAAAAAGTTACAACCTGCTTTAAACAGAGATTCTTTAAGACAAAATTTGGTTTCTTCAAACCAAAGTGTAGCCTTTAACACATCAGTTGAGTTTGTTGTGGATTCTCTCCTATGAAGCAGAACCAAGGACTTGGGTTAACTCGAGGGCAATCTGAGAAAATGCTCTTGAACACGGTGGGGCTGTAGGATGAGAGAGTAGCTACAGATACAGAGACATCAGAGACGTTTTCAGGGTTTTTCTTCCAGAAGCTACTGTGCTGCCCAGAGATATTCCTGAGGTAGACCAGTTGAGGCAAATGAAACTGCCTGCGGGGGTTCCCAACACCTCCAAGAAGCCTCCCTCCCCCCTCCCCCAGGCTGTAGAAGTGTGGAGTGAGGAAACTGAATTCACTGACCAGAAGGATGTCTGGCTAAGAAAGAAAAACACGGGCATACCTCAGAGATAGTGCAAGTTTCAACCCAGACCACCTCAATAAAGCAAGTCAAATGGAGGCTTTGGTTTCCCAGTGTGTAGAAAAGTGATGTTTACACGATACGGTAGTTTACTAAGTGTGTGTGCAAGAGCCATGTCCAAAAAAAAAAAAAAACCAACATGAACTTAATTTTAAAATATTACTAAAAAATGCTGATTCGCATCTGAGCGCTCAGTGAGCTGTAATAACTGACCACAGCTCATCAACAAATAGAATAACGAGAAAGGATGAAATATCGCGAGAATTAGACGGAGCCCTGCGGAGTGAGCCCCCGCGGTTGGAACCCTGGCGCTGCGAGGCTTGCTGGACGCCGGGAAGGCACAAGCTTCCATGTGGAAGAAACACGGTATCGGCGAAGCGCCGTATAACGAGGTATGGCTGTGACCTTAGCCGCAGGTGATGGTGAGATTTTTGTCTTTGGGATCCTGCTAGTAAGTACTGTCTCTGCTGCCTTAGGAGAGCGGGCTTCCGGCATTGCTGCACTGCAGAGGGGGACTTCTTAATACACTCTTTCTTTTTATTTTCTCAAAATCGAATAATAGAGCGACTGGAGAAGACCACTTGACAAAGCTCAGACGCTGAAAATGTGACAACACGACGGGCATTCACCCACGCCCACGGCAGCTCACGATCTCCCAGGCGCTTCGTCCGTGGTGCCCTGGTGGGCTGGGAGGACCCGCAAGCCGGGAGGGGCTGCGGGGCCTCCTGTGGGTTCGGGCCCCCGGGTGTAGGCTGAGCTAATGATGCATTTATTTGGCTCTGACTCAGTCGTGGCAAAGAAAGGTGTATGGGGAGCCAGGCAGCTCCCCCAGAAAAGTGAAGGGTATTCATAAACCCTCAAATACAGCCACACTACTGAAGATTTTCTGACAGGTGCCAGAGGGTGTTTACCCGCCTGGAGAAAGACAGGAATCCTCCTGTGGTTAAATCTTGGCACCAGAGGATTTTTCTAGTAGCGTTGGAGCTGCAGAATTTTTATCTGAAATTTCCTCCGGGACCTGAAGAATGTATACTGCACTAATTGGAATGGTTCTTTCACGAGTCTTGAAAGAAGGTGAGAACTACAAGGGAACCTACCTCCGGAGGGATGTCATCTGTCCCTGTGTCAGTGCTCAGGACAAGGGAGCCTCGCTTGACAGAAGAGGCATTCCTAACAAGTTATATTTGGATAAAATGGTGTTTGGTCCATTTGTTCCTGAAATGTAGTATAATAGGTTTAGATGGCTTTTGTTGGCTTTCTCATCACTAGATACTATGCTGTGGGGATTCAGTTAGGCTGCCCAAAATATTTGCTGGAAGGAAGAAAGGGAGGAAGAGGGGGGAAAAAAGAGGGGGGAGGGGGAAGAAGGAAAGAAAAAAATAATCTGGGGGTAGGGAGAAGGGAGCTCAAAAATATCTTCTTCTAAAAATGAGACTGGGGTACAGATTTAATGAGTACCAGTAATGTATGTTTATTTAATTCTCAAAAATAGGTGACAACTACAGCAAAGAAAATAATGAAAAATTAGTATCTTTAATATCTTTGAAATCTCAAATAGACCTTCATAATGTATCTATACCTATCTTCCCAGAAACCTTTCATAATAAGTTCCTAAATCATGCCTCATTCTTTTCCAACATGCAGAATATCCAGAATCCTATGGGGGCAGGGGGAGACATGCCTTTATTTTCAAAATTCTAAGGACTGAACATAAAAATAAGCCTTTTTCCAGCTTGGCAGGGACTAGTCCAAGGAGAATGTGATCAGCGACAAACGACTACTCCTCCAGCAGCCAGAACACTGTGCTCTCTTTCGGAATAACTACTACTCCTTGTAATACTGTGTTTAATAATATGACTCTTCTTTTAATGCATCTTTCCTGCCGGAGTGTGAGTTCCTTGGGCACAGTAACTGCCTAACTGGTTCACCAGTCTTCTCCCGACACCAAGAGCAATGATGAGCTGCTGGTAGACTTTGGATGGATGGATGGATGGATGGATGGATGGTGGCTGAATGGGTGATGGCCACCCAGGGGGTGTGACTGACCTGAAAAGGATGCACCAACCTGGGCCAGTGCCAAGCATGCTAGGATTTGCTGTGAGCTGCTCCATGTACTTACCCTGCCCCCTTGCAAATGTGTGGTCGCCAGTCCTCAGTATGTGATTTAAAGACCCAGTCTGGAACCTGAAGGGAACCCCATTAGTGCTTCCCAAATCTTTGCCCAGAACTCACCCCAACACTAATGGGAATAAACTTGTCTGCCCTGGGACCTGGGGCCTTTCAGGTCTCATTCTAACTTTGTACTTTTATGAAAATTTGATATTCTCCCTAGGATATCCCATTTTTTATCTTCACATAAAATTATTTTCCCAGACCTTCAGGTTGTGCATTGTTAAGCAGACCACAGCTTATAGGATTCCTGGCACACTCCTGCATGACCCAGGCAAGACCTGCGTCCTGCTTGAGAATCACAGCATGAAGATATTGTCCAGAAAATATTACTATTAACCTAAAAAGAATGTATTTGGGAGAGGTGACATTAACCCCATTAAAATGGATTCTCTTATCTGATTCCCTTTTTTCAGGAAAGCACAGCCCTCTGACTGAGAATGGGACAGAAGACAGGAGGATTTGATAGTGGGAAGAAGGAAACCATCCAGAGCCACCCAGCAGTCAAAGTCTGGTCGGGTCAACCTGCTGGTCCAAGATGGCAGCCATTGGGAGTAAATAGGATGGAGACATTGAATAAGGAGGAAGAAACAGAGCTGGGATGAGAGAAGTCCTCTGCCAAGGCTGTTCAAGGTAGTGGGATAATGGTAGATAGGACTATGGATATGTATAAAGACTCAACATTCATTCTTTCTCCATACAGTTGTTGAGTGCTTATTATGGGCCAGCCTTTGTGCTAGCACTAGAAAGTCAGAAAGATAATGATACGAGCCCAGTGAGGGTGGACACCCATAGAAGATTGTTGTAATAAGTGCTCCGCAGGGCACCTCTGTGGCTCAGTTGGTAGAATACGTGACTCTTTTTTTTTTTTTCCCTAAAGATCTTTTTTTTTTTTTTTTAAGATTTTATTTATTTGTCAGAGAGAGAGGGAGAGAGAGCGAGCACAGGCAGACAGAATGGCAGGCAGAGGCAGAGGGAGAAGCAGGCTCCCTGCAGAGCAAGGAACCCGATGCGGGACTCGATCCCAGGACGCTGGGATCATGACCTGAGCCGAAGGCAGCTGCTTAACCAACTGAGCCACCCAGGCGTCCCAAGATCTTATTATTTTTAACTAATCTCTACACCCAATGTGGGGCTCAAACTTACAACCCTGAGGTCCAGAGTCATGCACTCAACTGAGCCAGCAAGGCGCCCCTAGAGTGTGAGACTCTTGGTCTCAGTATTGTGAGTTCAAGCCCCACATCGAGGGTAGAGTTTACTTTAAAACATATATATATATTTTAAAATATATATTTATATATAGTCTGCTAGATGATAGCAAAGGATGATAGCAAAAGATGAAAGCTGCCTAGCCCAGAATGGGGAGCGTAGGAAAGGCTTCCTAGAGGAGGTGATGCCTGAACTTGATCTGAAAGGACACGTGGAAATAGATTATGTACTGTTTAATGGTGTTTTCTGTATTTGGATGTGTTTCCTTCTGATTCCCAACCCCTGTGAGGGACCGGCATATGTTTTAAATATAGAAGGTGCTCAGCAAATGCATCTAAATGAAGAAAAAACAAACCAAAAAAAAAAAAAAAATCCCTCCCTCTCTCTCTCTCTCTCTCTCTCTCTCTCACACACACACACACACACACACACACACACAAAACCATATAGGTGCATCAGTTACTCTGATCACTGAGCGGCTAACAAAGAGGATGGTAGATAATACCATAAAAGGAGAGAGAGAAAGGTTTTAGGCAGGTTGTTGGTTCTAGTGTCCCAGCGGGAATGGTACAGGAGTCTCATATCTATTTACAGAGTATCAGAATAAAAAAGTGGCAGGTGAAGAGACTTGTCATAGCTCCTCCCCACTCTCTTAACAGCAAGGAGCAGGGTGGAGGGGCTGGTCTCCCATTCGTGAACTCTTTGCCATTCTTCCCTGTCCTCCCCTTCAGTAGGCCGTTTTGCCTGAATCCCCACGCAGCACGCACACTCACGAAAGAAGATACATAGGGGCAGTTGCGGGATGTCCTCTGGTTGTTTTGTTTTGGAATTTTTTTCCCTCTGGTTAATTATCAAGTGCTTGCAGTGTAGTAATCAATGAGTAGCTAATTAGAAACAGGAGAGAATGAAATGGTTATTAGGCAGATAGTGTTTTTAATGAAAACCGTACATGTAATCCTGTGGGGAAGTATTACCAAATCGCAAGAGGTTTCATCATCTTTATTTATTTATTTATTTATTTATTTATTTAGGTGGGTCTTTACAAAAGGATTAATTTAAAACCACTCACAAACTAAACCCAGGTATGCGAATCCTTTTGCTCTTAGACGCTTCCCGAGGGGCAAGCCCCAGAACACACCAGGAAACAGAGCCTCTTGGAGACGGCCCATGAGCCCAAACCAACCTAACAGAGCCCGGAGCCAGGAAGGTCTGCCCCTTCCCAGAGAACAGCGAGGAAATGGTAAGAGAATTAGGGAATGAATAACAATGCTTTCTGGTAAATTAACCATATTACATTATGCACAGTAAAGTGATGGAAAAACCCTGTTAAAAAATTGAATAATAATTTGCCCACATCATTTATGGAAAATGCATAATTTTCCTACTTCAGTGGACTTTAGTTTGATTTAAAATATGAACAGCTCCCGCACTGTTCAGCAGAGCGTAATTTGTGAGGTAATTGGGAAGGGGAGAGGAATCAGACAATAATCAGCGCAATCCTGCGTGAGCCCCTTCACCTCCCTCCTTTCACCTGCAAATTCCAGAAAATATTTGTTTATATGTTCCTGAAGGTCTGGAAGGGAGAGCGTGGGGTATTAATCATTGTCAGAGCGATCACTAAACCACAGCCTCACCACACTTCAGACGGGAAGAGGTGCTTCTCTCGAGTCAGTGTTTTTCTGCTCTAATTCGAGGAAGCGCTTGGTTTTTAATAGTAGAGAAAATGGAAATGTAGCAAAGCTATACTTAAAACAGCAAGCCAAGAACAAAAGCAACATGCACGCAGCCAGAGGAGACCTTGCAAGATAAACAGATAAAACAAAAAGCCCTGCTTGGCTGGGATTCTGCTTCGGAGTGAAATGCAGAATGGAGAACATTGTTCCAGCTGTAAAGATTTTGCAATCTACAGTATTTGAAATAAAAGTCCTCGTGTAATGCCCCCAGCCCCTCAGAAGCCGGGCTGCGGCTGTGAATGCTGATATTTGGGCACGACTGATGGAGGTGTTCAGAACCAGAGTGCTCAGAGGTGGGGTTGGTGCCCTGAACTGGGCCGTGCACCCCCGTAGCAAGCCCTGTGCTCTCTCCCTTCTCCCCTCCCGCTCCCATCCTCCTACCCTGCTCCCCCTCCCCTACTAGAACCATAGAATTTTTATTTAGACACTCCCACAGTCCGGTCATCCCCATCTCTCCACTAAAAGCCATTCATTACTTGTTTACTGGATGCAGCCCTTAGATCTCCAATTGTCAGAGCTGTGGCTGCTTTGGTTTCACATTGTTTGCCTGTCTTGCCTCCTCGGTGACCCTGATGGCCCCACCGGGCTGAATCTTGAACCCCACAAAGACCAACACTTCTTAGCTCTTTGGTTAGCCAAAAGGGGCCTTTCCCAGTCCTCCTCCCCACTCCTGCCTTCTCTCCCGCCAGCCCCTCCCTGCCAGTGGCCCAGATTTATTGGACACTAGTTTGATTCCTACGTCTCCTACCACTAGCTATAAGTTATCTTTTTGCAAATTAGAAAAAGCTAACCTACCTCCAGACACCGCTGCCATCTGCCAGAAAACTGTTGTAGTAAATACGCCAAAAGATCATGAGAATGGTGCCCCCCCCGCCAAATTGTGTATTATACAACTGGTTCAGCTGTATGTGATGACCCTAGAGTTGGAAATAACCTGAGCTATCCCGGGAGCCTGTCTGAAGATCAAAGCCCCAACAAGGTCAGTCTTGCCTTTTTAGGACGCAGGTTGCAATTTCAAAATCTGTCTTTCTGTCGCAATCAGGGCAGTTTCTGGAAGAGACAAAGAGCCCCCAGGCAGCAGTACTGATGGGCAGATAAAGCTCCAACCACACTGGGAAGATTTTTAGGAAGCCTCAGAGATAGAAAGCTGCTAAATCTGAATGTTCGGGATGCAGGGGAGAGGCGGACTTGGCTTGTGCTTAGATCAACTGTTGCGGCACTGGCCGCTTCATTTCTTGTTGATTGCTCCGTCTGCTCCCCCCCACCAGAATGGCTTGATGATACCAGAGGCAGACGCCTGACCAGGAGGAACCAATTCATTGAGTGGTCACTAGCTAGTGGAATGGTTGCCTTGGAGTCGAAACCAAGAATCAAGGGGCTGTGGTGATAGACACTTGGCCTACAGGTTAGGTTGGCCCCATGGGGGAGCCACATTGGGCAGAGGGAAGTGGTGGTTGGACCTCCCGGGCCACCAGAGAAAGTGACTGGGAGTAGCTGCTTTCCACACTCCTTATCTGGAGGTCCAGCTGCACTTCCGGAGCACCATCTCCTTGAGATCCTCAAACCCGTGCAGTGCGCCATCTTGTCATTGAGTAAATTCAAGGGCGTTTGGGCCCCCGTAGTCCAGCTCCGCTGTTTTGCCAGCCTCGTCTCTCCCTTTCCCTCTCCATCACCTCCACCTTAGCTCCTGGCTACACTGAACTGCCTAAGATTCCCCAAGCATGCCCTGCCCTGCTCTAGTCCCTTCCCGTGGCCTGGAATGTTCTTTTGCCTTCTCTCCTCATCTTAGCAGTCTCTCTGTCCTTCGAGGCCAAACTCAAACCCTCCCCCCTCATGAAGCCTCCTGTGATGCCCCAGACACGGGATCACTCCGTCCTAAGAACCCGCTGCTCTTGGCTTCCCGCCACTCAGTGGCTCCAACGGCGCATTTCCTCCTGGCTTCCCCCCTTGCCTCTGCTCACTGAGGGTAGGAACTTGGCACACATCAGGCCCTCGGATGTTGCTTTGAATTTAATCCGAGGGTTGGAACCCTAAAACACAATCCGAGTTTCTTCAATCAGGAGTAGGATGCCAATAGAAGACATTGTTCCTTAAAATGGAAATGCATTTAGGGAATGCTGCAGATTAAGGGGATGAAGATCAAAGGGCACATTCTTGGCCAGGAGTTCTGAGTCTTAGAGACCCAAATAAATTGTAGACATTTTATTTCCTGAATTGATTGGAACCATAACACTGGATTTGGTGCTGTAATATAAAACTTTCTGAAACTTTTAGCCTGGCGGAAAGGCTGTTGCCTCCTGACTGTAAGTGTTAGGATTGCTCTTGTCTAAAATTCGAGTGCCCAGGCCAGCAGCTGAGACTGGCTGGTAAACCTGGGAGACTGACTTCGGAGAAGCGTTCCGTGTAGACGAGGGATCTGCGGGCCCTGCTCTTGGCTGGAATTACAGGCACATGTAGCCTCGTCCTGCCTGGGGACACGCGTCCACTCAGGTTCAAGGCCCCGTGGACCTGTGTTGAGAATAGAAAGCCGCTGCTCCTGCAGACAGTGCCTGACATGACATCGGCCTTTTGCAAATGGATGAGCGTTCCCCGAAGGCGATTTTCCCGGCAGCTGCAGGCCTCACAGCTCCTGCGGGCTTTGCTCTCCTGCTACCTTCCCATCCTGAGGCTTCTCCCTTCCTGACCTGCCCAGCCCAGGCTCCTCCTGTATGACTGGGAGCGGGGAGGAGTTGGGTTCTAGGTTATGGGATGAGCCAAGACCTTGCTGCTCAGCCAGGTGGAGGGAGGATCCCAACACCTGAAGCGAAGTCCACGCTCAGATGCTGACCTTTCCGCATTAAGCCCCACCTACAACCCACCCTTGTCAATCTGCCTGTGAAGGTCCTCAGAGAAGCCATTAAAATGCAGGTTTCTGGGCCCCTCCCCAGACTTGCTGAATCAGGCTTTCTCAGGCAGGAGGCCGGGGAAAGTGCCCCTTTCTCCTCTCACCTGCAACCCCCCCCATTTCCCCACCCCCCACCTTCCCCATCCCCCCACCCCCCCCCCCCCCCCCCCCCCGCACTTCTTTCCCTGCCAAGTCACAGCCGGAGCTGATTCATGACACACTTCTCCTTTTAAGTCTCCTTTTAAGTCCCACTTGCCTCAGTTCTGGTCAGGGCAGCCCTGGCAACCACGTCATGGTCTGCCCCTGCACCAAAGGCTGGTGACCGGAGCACCCCAGGGTGCAGCTGCTCTTAGAGCAGGCCCCAGGTCAGGCCAGCTGGGCTTGGCCTGACTCAACCCCTCAGAAAGCAAGTCCTTGCTATGATAAGGCCCTGTGACCTGTGGCCAGTTCCCCAAGAGCAGTCGGATGGAGGTCTAGGGAGTAGGGGAGCCCGACTCCCAGCACACCAGGGTGAGCTGCCAGCTCACAGCACTTCCCCGCAGGATCTGGGGCTGCAAGGTGGTGGGCCTGGCCCTCTAGCCAAGTGCTTCAAGGCGGGGCCGCCCTATTGGATGTAATGAACCTGGCCTCCACTACAGAGGCCCAGAACATCACAAACTTATAGGACACAGAGGCCTGTTTTTTGTGGAATGGCCCTGGATTTATAGATGAAACTGATAAAACACACACACACACACACACACACACACACACACACACACACACCCCAAAAAACAAACACATTGAAATCTATTGGCTTTATTCCTGACCCCTACCTCATCCTTTGCCCAACGAGATGTCTCCATGTGGAAAGGCCCCACTTTTGATAGATATAACTATCTCAAGAGGCTCCCCTTACCCTTCAGAGATTCAGATTATGTCCCTCCACCCCCACCCCCAGAGGATGGAACCAGGTCAGTTGGAGAAGCACCATCTGGGAGAGAGGACTGTGGCAGTTAAGAGGAACTTTCTCCAGAAGCTGAATGACACTAAGGCTTCCACACCCGATTTGGCTTTCTTAAAACTAAAACACCCTCAAGCAAGTTGTCCTCTACCTCCCACGCCCTGGGGAAATCCTATAGTTTTTCTTCCACCCTGGCTGCTCAAGCTCTTATCTAGGCTGGCTACTTCCTTTCCAGCTCAGTGCCGACTCCGGGAACAAACAGGGTCTGAAATTTTAGTTAAATGCAGATTGCTGTGCTCTACTGATCCTGGAGCAAGTTGGCAAGACCCAGAAATCTACATTTTTAAATACATACAATTTCTCTTTTTAATGGCACAAATTCATATGTTGAAGCACTAACCCCCAGTACCTCAGAATGAGACTGTCATGGGTCAAACATAATATGTTGTAGATTGTGTCTAAACCTATAACAACAGATTATGGGCAAAATAACTTTTAAAAAATTTTTAAACAGCTTTACTGAGATGTAATCCATATACCATACAATGCACTCATTTAAAGTGTCCAACTTAATGGCTTTTTGGGTAGTCACATG